GAAAACTCTAGCTACAAAGCAGAAGCCTACAGGCCAGAGAATTCAGCCATCCAGGAAGTCTGTCTGAAGGCATGCTTAGCTCCCAGTCCTGAGTCTGTGCTGCTGTGTGCTATCGACTTCCTGTTAATGTCACAATATATGAACCTTGCCAGGACAGGAACTTGGAACCAAAGGAGAGGAGGCAGAGTAGGAACAATGGGGTAGGACAGGCCAAGTAACTTGAACTCTCCCACAAGTTCAGGCTCTGACATGGAGAATTTGGCAGCTCTGACTCTAGTCATTTCCCCATTGCCAGCTTAGTGAGCCTCCCCCTGCACATGGAGGAGGAGAAGCAGGAGCCCAAAGACCATAGCATTCAGCCAGCTATGAAGTTGTTTCAGTGGCATGATCAGCTCTCAGACTGTAGTCTGTGCTGCTACATAGGACTCCCACATTACACAAACAGGAAGCACAATCTGTGGGACTTGTCTAGGCAAGTTTAAGTCCAAAGGATGTAGGTGGGAACTTGGTGTGGTGGGGCAAAGTCCTCATTGTAGGAAAACTGTTTAGTCAGAATGATAGAAGCAATGGCCAGGAGGCAGGGCAAGTCACCTCTGCTATTTCTATTCTCTCTTTGTCCTCATGGAAAGGCACACCATGGATTCTGAAGATCTTCTGGGATACCAGGAACCCAATCCTCATTCCTGGGCAAAGAGGAAGAAGTCAGAGGGCTTCTCTGAGTAATTACTCACTCAAGACATCACAGGAGAGACAGGAAAATGCAGGAGCTCTGACTGTGACCTTCATCCTCAAGACTCCTCTGTGCTTTGAGGACTCAGTTTACTGAGCCTGCTTCCAGACTCCCTAGTCCCTACAACTAACTTAGGGTCTTCTTGGCCACCTCCCTGTTAAGTCACAGTTGTTTGACCAAAACACACTACTATTCTGGGTCCTTTAAAGTCCAAAGCTCCTATTCACTCCACCCTCATGTTGTATCTCCTCTAGTGGTCAGTTCCTGCCAAGATCAACCTCATGGTTATTTACCCATTTAACAAATATTTTTAATTGTTTGTGTTTATTTATTTAATTTTTTTTTTTTGTGTGTGTGTGTGTGTGTGTGTGTGTATTCTCCCAGACCATGGCTCACATATGGAAGTGAAGGGACAATTTGTGGAAGTCTATATTCTAATTCCACCATATGGAGCCCAAAGTCAAACTTACATCATCAGGATTGGAGGAATGTTCACTTACCACCCCTTGATAAATATCATATATAACCATATGACAAGCATTTAAGGGGAATTGCTGGCCCCAACACTGGAGTCAATCTGATATTGACTCCTATGAATAATTTATCAGAACCCATGATAAATCTGAGATAAAAGTCTGTAAATAGAAGTTTCAGAATCACAATAAAATGCTGACATGATATATCAAAGGATGTGGGATCAGAAGTCCATATTCAGTCCAGACTGCTTTCCTAGAGGAAGTGGTGTGGGGGTCAGTGTCAGTCACCTTTACTGCCACCTGAGAATTGACCTTGTCTCCAAATTATCTTCATTATTATCTAAATAATAGTTATAGTCCAACAGCATGGCACTGTGGGACTTTTTCTTTGGTGTCTGTCTGGCTGTTTACCTGGCACAGCACAGCTCACCTTTTCCTGTCTCCTCCAATCAACGGTGATTCCTTTGATTCAGTGTCACCCCACCAATGCACTATTGTCCTTTCTGTGGTCTTAGCCTTTCTTGGCAGGTGTTCTTTCTACTCCAAGTTTCCAACCAAAGGAAGAGCTGGGCCATGAGTGCTGAGAAGTTGTCAGTTCCTCCAATCTTGTGATGAAGAAAATAGATTCTGAATGGACCTTGGACATCTCTGTGCGTTTTAATCCCAGACATGTTTGTAGCTCAGCTAGAAGAATCCCTGTGTGCTCTGCTACTAACTGCACCATCACCCAGAGGCCCTATATTGAAGATGGCCATGGCCACAGTAAAAATGTGAATGAAGAATATGCTTAGCTTCTATTCTGTGGAGGGAGGCAGGGAGTGAGTAGGGAGAACATGATAAAAAAAGAGATGAGATAGATGATAGATAGATAGATAGATAGATGATAGATAGATAGAGAAGAATGTAAAGAATCAAGGCCATGAAAATTCCTTCAATGAGATACTACTATATCCTTGCTCAATAATCAGATTTAAGACCCATAAAGCCAAGTGTTGGCAAAGACATGGAGCTACTGGCACTACATACACCACTGGAGAAGATATAAAATGATATGGTCATTATAGACATCAGTTAGACAGCTCTTTTAAAGGTTAAACACATTTATTCTGTGATTGAGTAATTCTACTCCTAGGTCTTTAGTTCAACAATTGAAAAAAACCTATCACAAAAACTCATACTTCCAAAGGTCATAAGAGCTTCAATAAGAGTAGTGAAAATGAGGTCATTCAAGTGTGCATCAACTAGGGATTGGGTAAAATACGTTGTGTGCATATATGGAAAGACAGTGTTAACCAAATACAGCACACTTGAATCTTCAGGACCTCTTACTCAGTAACAGGACCAGTCACATAGGAATCCTTTTCTGACATAGGATAGCTAGGACTCTGATGTTTCTAAGTTATATGCAGTTTCCAAACAGAACCATCAGAAAGTGGTTGCCCTGGAGCAGAGACCAGGCAATGACTGACAGAGAGGAGCTCATTGGAACTTCTTCAGGTCAAAGTAGGAGACTCATACTTATGTGAAAATGATTGCATAGCTCATATTTTTATGCAAAATTTGCCCATCTATGCTGGTAAGTAGGCAAATTTGGGTGCATAGAAATCATTGACAGAATCAGAGATTCTAAAAAGTGACACTGGGGATGGGGGCAATAGATGGAGGAAGAGAACATAAGGGAATGGAATGGTAGAGCTGGAACAGAGTGGGAGTGGGAGAGCAACAAAAGAGATAGCATGATGGAGGGAGACATCATGGGGATAGAGAGAAACTGGGTGCTAGGGAAGTTCCCAGAAATCCACAAGGATGACCCCAGCTTAAACTACTAGCAAAAGTAGCAAAAGAGGGTGCCTGAATTGGCTTACTCCAGTAATCAGATTGGTGAATACCCTAATTGTCATCATTGAGCCTTAATTCAGTAATTGATGGATGCAGAAGCAGAGATCCACAGCCAAACACCAGGCCCAGCTCCAGGAGTCAAAGAGAAAGAAGTGGGATTCTATGAGCAAGAGGCATCAAGGTCATAATGGGGAAACCTACAGAGACAACCAAACTGGTGGGAACTCATGAACATTAGACCAGCAGCTGTGGAGCAACCATGGGACTGGACTAGACCCTCTGCATAAGTGAGACAATGGTGTAGCTTGATCTGCTTGAGGGGCCCCTGGAAGTGAGATTGGGATCCATCTCTGGTGCATGAGCTGGAGTTTTGGAGCCCACTCCCTATGTTGGGCACCTTGCACAGCCTTGATATGGTGGGAATGGCTACGACCTGCCTCAGCCGAATGTACCAGGCTCTGCTGACTTCCCATGGGAGGCCTTATCATGTTGGAGGAGAAAATATTGGATGGGCTAGTGAGGGGAAGGCTAGAAGAGTGGGAGGAGGGAAGAGAGGGGGATCTGTGTGTGGTTGGTAAGTAAAATGAATTAAAAATTCCTTAATAAAATAAATGACACAGCTACTGAAAGTCTAAAGACCAGTTGGTGAAGTGTCCTGTATGTCAGCAGAAATGGAGACCTCACAGATGCATGGGTGCAGCAGGAGCTCAAGTCCCCAATAAAAGTATCTGGCAACTACCCTCCTAGACTCAAAGGAAGGGATCTTCTCCGACCATCTACTGATCCAAGGCTAAAAGATAGTCTTATCTTTTGTCTGTTCCCTGTGCAATGTGGAATATAGTAATCATCCCATCCATAAATGCTATAGATTAAGTGTCTCCCCTCCATACTCTCTGTGTGTTCAGGACCTATCTATGCAGATGTTCTCAACTCTCTGGTGAACATCTGGGATTTTGGAACTGAAAGGACCACTCCACCAGATTCTTCCAAGCTCAAAGACATGGAAGTAGCTTCTTTACATTACCAAGAAAGTCTGGTGTGTCCTCTTAATCCTTGGCTGGTGTGTAGCATGATGTGGGGTAACATCCCTATGTGCTCTGTCACCCAGTACACCATCATTCAGAGGCTCTTCACTGATGATGGTGGAGATCATAGTGAACATGTAGAATGAAGAAGACTCAAATTCTGTGTGTGTGGAGGGGGTGTAATGGAACCTTTCATTTGTAGACAGGAAGAGGGAGGTGGACTAAAGTCTAAAGAGTCTTCTTCATAGAGATACTACTGCATATGCATACACTCAGTGGTGGCAAAGACAGGGAGTCACTGGCATGCTCACACATGCATGCCCAGAGGAGATGGGCATAGTCATGGTGAAAGACAGGCTGACCTCTTCTTCCAAAGTTAAACACACTTGTGCTGGGACTCAGCAAATCTATTCCTGTTGATATAGCCTACCTGAATTACCAGCATGCCTTTTCCATTCTGTATCTGACCTTGTCCTCTGTCTCTGTGGCATCTATTATCAGGTCAGCTCAAATCTGAACGATACAATGAGGATATTAAGAGTCTGGCCACGAGGAAGCTCCCATCATGGGCATCATTATTTGTTCCATCAGCTCAGTGTAATGAAAAATGACAATCTTTGGATGAGAAAGCTAGCTCTCAATATATAGCATACCTGATTTTACCTTAATTTTGGAATTCATGGTCTTCAAAATTGTGAACAAATTCCTATTGGTTTTAAGCCACATAGGTTATGATATATACAAACTCATGTATGTATGTTACATGTATCAATCTATGAATATATGCAATTGTGATGCAGTGTGTGTGTGTATGTTACAGGCTGACCTTTAACTCTTGAGCTCATATATTCCACCTGCCTTGGTCTTCCAAGTAGCTAGACCACATGTGTCTGCCATAGACCTGAGCTTGCAGCTTATGATAATTTTTGTTATGGTCACATAAACTTTCTAAGATACTAGGGCTGTGGCAATTCAAATGTTTTACAAGATACTTATATACATGAGAATACTTAAAGCTTATTAACAGATGGACATGAGATTTTGACATCCAATCACCTCTGATGTGTCAATTTTCCCAAATATCTGACGTGCAAACAGGATACTGAATCCAGGCTGTTATACATGTGAGACAAGTGCTCTATTTCTCAACTATTTATCCAGGATGTATACTTTAATCTTTGATAATTAAATATACAGACAAACATATTTAAATCATGTTTACTCCCCATTCTAGACCAATTCCTCCCAAATTCCCATCCAATTCATGCTCTCTGTCTCTCTCTGTCTCTGTCTGTCTGTCAGTCAGTCTGTCTGTC